ACTGTAATTACCTGGTACATTACTGTACATCAGTTACCCATTTCACAAAAATTGATAAAAAGAAAATTGCAATACTTACTTGGTACTGCATAGAAGTGGTTTGTTTATACACTCTTTAGTTATGCTGCACCTACACAAAATATTACTTCAGTGCAGTGGGGATTAAAAAGAACCTATTTCAACAGCCCCACACTTTTTTTTTTTTTAAAGAATTACATCAGGCAAAACCAACCAGCTAAAAGCCTGCCACTCTTTACGCTGACTTGCAATCCAAGCTAGCACGCAGACCTCCCGAACTCAGCATCTCCTCTAAAATGATCTTAAAACATCCTCACATCTAAGTTACTTGTGGTAATAGTTTGCTGTTCATGGATTTTCAGTTATTAGGTTCAGTCCCTCAAAGCATGAAACACAGAAGACTATTTAATAAAAACTAAGCTTGGTAAACAGCAACATCACTATGCTATTTTCAGGCCATACATTTCCTCTGCTAGGAAACCTCTGAGAGGGTCTCTGGATTTTACTGAATTTTGGTTGCTTGCAGTGGTAGGAGAGGCCTTCCTTTAGCCACTCATGGGAGAGAAGCATGTTCTCAGCCAAATATCACACCTCCTATGAAAGAGTTTAAACAGGAACACAGCATTTTGACATAGCTTTTGGCTTTCTCTGGACGCCTTATGGCTTCCCATTTTGGAGAAAGAGTTTGCGGGAAGAAGTGCTTTTTGATAATTCTTTCTGGTCATTTCTGAGCCAAAATTAGTGGACGTGCATAAAGTTATGGAAGGGCAAGATGTCGTATTTTTTGTTCTGTCTACATCTTCACCTTCCTTCAGAAATGTAACACCAGTCTAAAATTGAGTTTTGCACAGAAACAATCCACTCCAATACAAGCTGATTTTACTTGCTGTTCTGTGATGCGCTGAGGTCAGCTGTTTAAGTAGTCTGAAATCCTCAGCAGCTCTGTTACTTCTGTGTAAATATAAACGGAGAGAAGGAACACTTGGTCATTAGTTATTTTGTCCAAGAGATCAGAGACACCAGGCAACGTACTTATTCAAATATTATTGTAGGACACAAGGAAGATCAGGCACTTTATCATTATCTGTATAGCATACATGAGATGGATTGCCTCAGCATTAGCAAACCGCTTTATAATTTTTATACCAGCAGAAATTCCTTCTGAGGAAAGGAATTCACAGTAAACCCACATTTTGCCAGGTGAGAACATCACACCCAAACCCATACCTACCTGCAACTTCTTCCTCTGAAAGACAACTCATGCATTTTGAAAAAAGTTATTTATTTTCACTGGTTTAATCTCTCTACTGTAGTGTTAGCACTTAACATAAACATCCACTCTTCTACTGTCCTATTTACAATCCATTGAAATGTATACTCTACAAATACAATACATATTTTCAGAAATGTAAGGGAAATGCACAATTTTATAAGGTTTAAAAAAGTGACACTCATCTGTACAGGATCCTCAAATCACCCCAGAAGTAAAATTTACAAGGCAGTATCCACACAGCTATGTAAGGGCAGGTGCTACAGTGACAAAGCAGCAAACTTGCTAATACAACAAAATACAGAAAATTAAAGTGTTTTGGGGCACCAGATAATACATTTAGTACCGTTGAAGTTGTAAATTTAGTAATACCCATATTTCTAGAAACATGTAACTGCAAACCTGGAGAATGTTCTGAAAAATATTAAACATTATATACACATGAGGTAAATGTACCTTGGTCTTTTAAGAGGTAATTTGAGTTTAAAGCAACTGATATGGTGAAGTTTTTTTTTTTTTAAACACAAAATTATTAACACCTTGCAATTGTTTCAATGGCACAATATAAACAAGGAACTAACTAAAAGGTGAATTTCATGGCAATCACACTCAGAACTATTACTGAAAAAAATAAAATAGCCTCTTATTTCATTTGACACCTTCATGTCCCCATACAGTCAATCCCAATGTCTTTCTTAGGATTACAGTTGGAACCATTGGAGGATGACAGTGTGTCATACTTGGAAAGTCAGCTTGAGAAACATCCCAGAATTCCAGCTTTTAAGGTTGGAAGGTCCCTGAAGAATTCCAGCATTCCAAAAACAACGTTTCAGGCTTTTCAGACCATTTCCAATGCTCCTTATTCTCCATGTCCATATCCACCTGGTCACAAGTCTGTAAACCAAACTGAGGCTTCAATGCTACTAAAATGTCAAATTGATTAAATCCACAAAACTTAAGTGAATGTATAATGTATGTAATATTTACAATAAACATTTGCATCAGTATTCATCAGAAACTGTTTTGGTATATACTTGAAATGATACAAAATTAATATTTTGAATGCTAAAATATTTTGGTCCCCCTGGATTTCCAAGAGCAGATCTGGTGATATCACAATCTTAATTTAAAAAATACTTATGTGTACCTGTGTCCATATATATAAGATATGATCTTACACAGGTAACATTTAAATATTACATAATATATACAGACACAGCCTTTGTAAAAGGTGTTCAGTTTATATAATGGAAAAGAAGAACAAAGCTTGAAGTTGTGGTGTCAGAACTGAGGATACATATAGCTCTATCTAGAATTTTCCTGTTCTGCATTCCAATATGAATAATAAAGTTGTCCCAAAATAATGTTCCTAACATCACACACTGTATCAAGCATCCTTCCTGTGCTTTGTTTTTACAAGCTTCTATTACAAAGCAAAAAATTAAACAATGTAAGCATAGTTGCTAGCAATTCAGCAGAATGAAGACTAGTAGGTGGTTGAGATGAGACATATGTAACAAACCACTGTATAGCTGACTGAATAATCTGCATGCTATCAGGCTGTTCAGCTGCCATAGATTCTCTCTGAAATGCAACAGAACTGTTCCTCATATTTTAGGAAACCAAACGTTATGGTGATAAGGTTTTGTAGGTGCTAAAAAAAGCCACTAATTTAATTATTTGATGAATTACATTGGAAGTTCATGTTACCATCAAGATTACTATAAAGAGCTGAAGCATGCCAGTAGCCTGATGATTCTAAAGTATGAACTATACTATTTGTATCTATGGTAAAGATCGAGTTATGCCTATGAAAAACTCAAAATTTAACAAAGTTATCAAATTGTTTAAATAGGAAGCCTTTGAAATTAGTATGGAGATATAGTAAGTTCTACTTTGACACTGACCTATTTTCTTTAAATATTTGTCTAGATACATAGAACTTGTTAGAGAGGCATGCCAAGTAGACAGATTTGGGAGTTTAGTTATATTCAATCATTTTTTTAGAACAGTCATAATTGAAAAACTCTGTGGCGCACAGCTGTCCATTTGCACAAAGGCATAGTTTATTTAAAATACCTACATGAAGTAATTTTTGATCCAGCTTTGATTGATAGAGGCCTGAAGCACATAAGCCTGACTGGTCAGATAATGCCAAACAAACATAAGCGTGACAGCTATATATGCGTTTAAACCCAACTATTTTCTAAGAACTTCTCTTATTTTTTCCTCTTGTCCTAGATGCCATCTTCCAGAGCCAACTCATCCATAAAGGTGGTTGAATAAAGCACTTCATTATATGCAGTTCAAACTCTGAAGGTCTGTAATTCCCACATCATTTAAATCTATCTCCAAGCAAGCACTAAGAATTTGGAAATATGCAAGAGTTAGCAAAGTGCTAGGGCTTATCTTGGCTAAGTCTTATGTCATCTATATAGCCTCTTCTTACAAGGACCCATCCATCTTACTGCTTTAACTACCATATATCACAGACCATGGAACACAATCTCAACTATGCTTCTGTTAGCAACCACCCTGCCACTGCTACTAGCTTTGTGAAAAACTCTCAGTGTGCTGAAGAATGAAAAGGAAGCAGAGTTAAGGTTGCCGTGTGTGTTGCATAATAGGATGGATACTGATGTGTTCTGGAGAGTAAGAGGTTAGGTGGCATATTAATTACCAGGCACATTTACATACTGAAATACTATTGAGTGTTTTGGGCATTAATGAAACCAAAAGGTCAACCAGACTCTTCCTAAAACTGCAATTAAAAAAAATTCCTGGTAACAGCAGTTTTTAAAAGAGAATTTTCCATATTAATTCTCCCAGTCCCCTCCAGAAGTTGTACATTTGGGCAGGAAGCAATTCAATTTCTAAACAAGTTTGCGAAAATCTTGTGATATTCCTAAAACCTCATGCAAATCTTGACTAAAGCCATGCATATTCTTCTGTGTTCTTACGACAACACAAGCCACCATAAGCTTTGTTCTTGTAACTATGAAGAGGATTGCTGGAATCCTCTGGTATTTGTATCCAAAGACCTGCAGCTCGCCACTTTCTGTGTATGAGGCACACACAAAATATATGCACATAAAATTTATAAGCAGCTTTGAACTTTATAGTACAAAAGCCCAAATAACTTCTCCCTAATTACAGGTGCACTTAATCCTAATTTAATTGCAAATACTGTTCTTTGAGCCTTAAGACTGCAGAACCGCACAGAAAAAATGCTTTTCATATTTGATGTAATGGAGCAAAATCTCCCTTAAGAACATCTTACTCCTCTTGCTACTTTTCTGAAGTAGATAGGTACTTCAAGCATTTTAGAAGTGCTACTTGATAAAAAAGATCTTACATATAATTATGATTCATGACTTGACAATTACAAAACATGACAGTGAATTAACTAGCTTACACTACTTAAAACTCCTACAGTGGTTTAAAGAGTCAGATTTTGGTAAAATTAAAGGTATTCTAGGAATTATGTATGTACTCACTTGCTGAAACGAGTGTGAATTAGATTTTATCTAGGCAGAGGAACAGTTGATTTTTAACTTGTATTTTTGAAACCAAAAGTACCATAGGCTTCGTACACTCCTACTGCTTTGCATTAAAAGACTCAAAAGCGGCACTTACTGGTATAATACAATCTATTTTGAAGGCAATGTAATGTTCTGAAAAAGTGGAAAAAACCCAGTAATCATGTATAAAGTATAGTTGCATAAATTATGTTCCCACAACTGAATGAGGTCAATTTGTAAATCAAGGTAAGAGTCCAAAAGATATACTACCTTAATAGCTAGCAAAGTATACTCCAACAGTACATTCACAATCTGAATCAAAGAACCGTGACAGTGGTTCAGAATAGTCAATGTACCAGCCAGGAATAAAGTTGTTTAAAGAGCCATCAATGCACTCTAGAACAATACGGTGAACCAGTTCCATTTTAAAAGTGACCTCCTATTTTCAGCACAGTTAACTAGAAGTTAAGACCAGCTATCAACTTTCCAGATAAAAAATTATAGGTTAATAAAAATAAAACTAAACTACACCAATGTTTTGTAAGTAACCTGGGAAAGAGGTTCATAGTGCACAGAAAGGACTCAACACAACTGTTTCGCACGTCCACAAAAATCCTAGTAAGTGACGTTCCTATGAAGTACTAAAAGGCAGCAATATCCTTCTGTTCCCCCAATGAGGTAGAACAATTAACCTTCTTAACACGCCACTCTGGTGCAGATACGGATTTTTACAGTATTCTTCGGTAGCAAATCCAGGATTACATCTTTATCCCCTCCTGTTGACTAAGTTGCGATAATGTTTTCTTAATGCGCAAAGCTGTTAGCCTAGCAGCTCCGTTGGCATACCAGCATTCCCGCATAATTTTTGCCATTACTCGTAATGCCTGCAAAGGAAAAACAAGTAATTATATGTACTGCTGTTCCAATGTAGCCCGTGTAACCTCTGTTCTGCCTTAGCCTCTTCTGAAGTCTATTACTAGTACTACAGATGCATGGAAGACTGTTGTATAAAAAACTCGAATTCTTTATTTACAGAAAAATAAAATCCTTTAAAATACTGTAGAGCAGAACTAGTATTTTTCAGTAGAATTTCAGCCCACACAAAAATATTTTAATGAAAAATTAGTAGCTTGTCTGTAACTGAATTTTCACATTAGACAAAAATACACTCTTTTTTGTTGTACCTCCAGTTAAGGAGTTAGTTCAATGTATAGCAATTCAGAAGTTTATCAGCTGTCTTCCTCAAATTGAAGCTCTGTAATAACTTTGAAAATTTTTGGAGTCTTTATCCTTCAAACAGCCATTCTTCAAAATCTGTGAATGCTACTACACAAATAACTGCAAATAACATAAAAACTGAAAATGAAATAAAGTAATAGCTCTACATTCCAAGACTTTACACTCAAAGCTGTATTATATTGAGCTGCTAGGTAAGTTTGCAGGATTGGAATGGCAGCATCTAAAAAATGACTCTACAGTCTGTCGGTGTGTATCATTGCATTTCTCTCCCACCTGCATTCTCTTGCCCAATCGCTTACCTCAGGCCTTCACCCATGTATTCACTTCATACATGCCACAACCCAGTCCCCTCTTCCATCTAAGGTACATCATATCTCATCAATCTCTTACTCCTCCTGTAGCCTACCGCAGCTATTCTCCTAAGCTCTGAATCAGAAAGCATTGGTTCTAGCCCTAGTTGGGTTCCTAGGGCAAGCAATATGAACAAAGTTCGCTGGAAAGGCAAGAGCTCGCTGCTGTGCATATTACTACCCATGTAGTGACTACCAGCATAATGAACTCACCCCAGAACCAGGTAAGCACTTCTACAGAGGCACAGTCAGGAGTGGTCGCTCCTGACATGCACATTTCAGTTCTAAGTCTTTGGCTTACTAGAATCTCAGCTTCCTAATAACCGTATTCATCTTTCAGTAAGTACATACAGTACAAATTCTGAGACACACAAAGTACTAAGGCCACCACAGTTTTGAATTAGAATTCCGATAAGCATTTACTATTTCGGCCAGTCTGTAGGATATTCCTTTACTACACAATGACAGGACAAAGACCCCTGAGTGAGTTAGTTCCAAGCAAGCATTCACATGAGGCAGCACAGCACTGTTGAAGATACCATTTGTGTCCCAACAAGCAGTAATGCTGTGCTGGCAGAGTACTGAGCTGAAACTAGCAAGTCCACTTCTTGAAAGAGATAACCAGCCTAGTTACAAACCAATTAGCACAGACGTGATTAGCTTATGTATCTTTACTACCCCTGTTGTGGGTTAACCCCAGTAGGCAGCTAAGCCTCACATAGCCACTTGCTCACTCCCCCCCAGTGGGATGGGGAAGAGAATCAGGAGGGCAAAAGTGAGAAAACTTGTGGGTTGAGATGAAGACAGTTTAATAGGCAAAGGGGGAAAACCAAGCCAAAACAAATAAAAACAAGTGATACAAAAACAATTGCTTATCACCATCTGACTAATGCCCAGCCAGTCCCTCAGCAACAGCAACCCCTGGAAAACTCCCCTCTCTCCCAGTTTTATTGCTGAGCATGATGTTGCATGGTATGGAATATCCCTCTGATCAATTTGGGTCAGCTGTCCCAAGTTGCATTCCCTCTCAGCCTCTTGTCCACCCCCAGCCTACTCAATGGTAGGGGAGGCAGAGTGAGAAATGGAGAAAGCCTTGAAGCTGTGTAAGCACTGTTCAGCAATAGCCTTAACATCAGTGTGCTATCAAACTGTTTTGGTCACAAATCCGAAACACAGCACCATACAGGCTACTATGAAGAAAGTTAACTCAATCCCAACCAGACGCAGTACAACCCCCGGTTGCACAATTTTTTTGCAATGATGCTTCCCGTCTACTCAGACTAGCTTTAATTTACATTTGCGTCACCTATGCTTCACAGGAAGGGATCCTAGAAACCTCCACGCAGGGTTAGCTATTAATTTTTGTGAAATTACATTAAATATTAATGTATAACCAAGGATAAATAACATTCAATAAAGCCACAGTGATCAGAATGAAATTAAGTTCTCCTAGAAGCAACCCTTCTCCCTTCAACAAGCAGCACAATTTTTAAGCCATTGAAATCAATAAAAGCTCTAGTGTCTGTTAAAGCAGCTTTAGCAAGGCTAGTTAATACCTCACAGCTCTGCCATCTGTTTGGAATATTGGGCCTTAACTTCTGCTCACACACAACTTTCCTCATTTCTTCAACAGAAGGATCTGAAGGAACGAGGTCATAGTATGGCAACTGGTAATCTTCGTGGATTCCTGTAATAGGTTGAAAATAGCTTTATTTTAGCTAACACTAAATTACATATTCTTCACATTTTACTGTGTTCCTTATCAGTACCCTACCATTTTCTTTTTTGGTTTTCATTTTTAAAAGTTACATTACAATGACTGACAAATAAATTTAAAAAAAAAAAAAAATCTGTAACCATACCTTAGGACTGTTTACATTACCCTTGAAGAATTTTTAATTTTGAAATGTATATATTTTTGGAACAGATGGAAGCTATGTCAAATCTTTCATATGCTATTCTAAAGACACGCTTCTTGGAAGCGCGTGATTTATAATAGCATGTTTTATTTTAAATAAGGTATGGATGTTAGCTAGCCCTTACTTGTGGTGTTTGCCCCTTGCTCTCAAGGATGTTTAACTTCACCCTTTTCTCCTCTCTACGTAAAGGTTTTAGAAAAAAGTTAATATAGACAAGGATATTTTCTATTTTCTTCAACAGGTATGGTTCATCAATTTACAAAGAGGCCGAATAAACCAGTCATTTACAGGATTAACAGTTAGAAAGTCTGAGACATACTGGCTATTACCAGTTTTTAGAGCAAACTGTTTACTCAAACTTATTCAGGTTCTGTAAGTTACTTATAATTCCTTAGTATGTCCAATTTTGTAAAGATTGCCACATACCACCGATTGAACATCGCCGAGCTATTTCCCAAAACACTAATCCCATTGCATAGATGTCTGCTCGTTTGAATGACTCAAAATGTTTCATATTTATGGAATCATCTAGAACTTCAGGTGCCATGTACCTATTTGCAATTAAAAAAAAAAGAAGAAAACATTTAATTTCATAAATACTTACTGTAGAGAAAGTTCAGTGCTACTGATCAGCTCAAAACCAAATTTAAGTATTTATGTGGAAAAGGAGACAAAGGAAAATCTGCTTCATTAAGGTTATCCAATCAAAGACCTTTCAGTGCAAAGAGGATAATAAGTAAACTGAGAGGAACAAGCAAAGGGATAGGGGGAGTAAGTAAAATGTGAAACGATAAACAAATAGAGCCATAAACCTGATAGACATGGGAGAACCGAGACAAAGAACAGAAGTCTCTAGTTGCTAACTGATGGGCTATTAAGAAACTCCATCTGTAGCTTTCGAGAGGGCCAGTCTGGACATTGTAACTGCTAATAAGTGGGAAACAAGAGGAACACAAGGATTGTGGATGTTCAAAGGAGGCCTGTGAGACTATGCAATGTTTATCAAGGAATGTTTAGGAGAAGGGTAACTGGGAGGAGGCAATAGAAAAGGATATCAAAGGGGCTAGTTGCATAAACAGTTGCCAGTCACTATGCTTGTCCAACCAAGCCCTGCACCTGCTCACCGCAGTGTATCCTATCTTCTTATTAAATCCTAACTATTTTTCTATGCAATCTCACTCTCAACCCCATGTGCATGTGTGCTCTAAGGACTACATGCCAGCAACTGGAGGCAGGCATGAGTGAATTCAGGGCTAGCAACTGGAGTCAGACAAGTGATGAAGTTGCCTTTGGGCCTGGGGTGCCAGCAACTGGAGAGAAGGAGGATGTCGGCCTCAGCAGCTGGAAAGGGAATGGCAGATCCTAGGAGCACGTATCCACAGGTCTGAGGAGCACATATCTGGAGCTACTGTGGGGAAACCAGCATGAATGAATTCTGGGCCAGCAACTGCAGTCAGTTGGTAAAGGCACCCCATGGTGCCAGCAACTGGAGCAAATGAGTATCTCTGCTTCAGCCACTAAAGTAGGACCACGGGTCACAGGCTTCACAGTCACATGCTTACAGGTACCAGCTACAGGGGAGAACTGGGATGAGAGAAGCAGAGTAAGGGCCTCTCAGCACCAGCAACTGGAGTGGGAATCACAGGTCATAAGGTGCCAGCCTGGGTGCCAGCCACTGGGCGGGTGGGCCAGAAGGTTTGTACTTCCCCCAAACCTGGTATGCATGGCAGGTGTGCATGGGTGTAGTTCACTAGCAAACTTCAAGCTGATCTAGCCAGCAAATAGGTGGCCCAGGTAGGGATGTTTGACAGGGGGAGGGCCTGTGCTTGTATTTGAGGGAATCCATGCATGTAGGTGTGCGTATGAATACATGCATCTGTTTGCTAGTGTGCATTAACCCAGCCCAGCTCGTGAGTAAGAGACCTGTGGGGCACAGAAGAGGGCATGAGACATACCGAGGGTTGTACTGATAGTTGAGGGATTCATAAACATGCATGGGCTTGTAAGGCTACAGAAGGGTGTCTGTGTTTTCACCAATGAAGTTCAATCCTGATCAGCTGAAGAAATGGAAGGAGACTTGGCTGTCTATACTTGTATTTTATACAAGTTCTGACAGTGTTTTATGTGGGTGTTGAAGACAGCACATGGTATATAGCAATCTGTGTAATCAGCCGTGTCAGTATAGTATGTGTCTGTGTATGCCCAGCCTCACTACTGGTTGAATTCCAAGTAAGAAAGCAGCAGCCACATCCATGGGGCCTGGGATAGACAGAGCCCCAGTCCTTTGGACACACCAGGCTGGGCTCCAGAGGCCAGGCAGGAGGAAGCCCCAGCTCCTGGAATCTGCCAAGATACAGCAGCCACTTATAACATCCCCTAGCAAGACTAGAGAGGGAATAGACATGGAGGGCTTAAGGATTCCCGGGGAACAAAGGCTCCCTACCATTGCAGTAAACTGATTCTTCATCATACAGTCTGTAAGTCCCATCATAAAAAAAAAAGCCTGGCATGGTTTTTTTTTGAGTAGCAAATCTTATTTGGGTTACACATTAACAACTAACAGTGCGCACAAGAAAAGTTTACTTTATCAACATTTCCTGCAATAGAAAAATCTGTAACAGACTTTCAACTGAGAAACAAGGACCTTGTTTAGTGACTAGGCCTAACGTGGGAACATCAAGCAAAATGTCAGTGTGGACCACATTGTGAGAGTTACTGACAGCAGCATCCCCACTGGCTGCTGGAAAAAAAAAATGGTATTTGCCGCATCAGTCAACATCAGTTGTAGTATTGCTCTCTCAGCCTGGTATAGCTCTGGCAGCTAAATCCAATACGTAACGTTTAGCAGAGTTCAGTGCGTTTCTCCACATCACTGCCCTGTCAATCTCAAGCTAACATATTAATGAAGCAGGCAAACAATGACACCAGGGCTTTGAAGAAGCACAGTTAACCAGTAAAAAAGCAACACGCATAGATTACTGGAGTGGAATACAGTTCAGGCAATAGCTCAACCTCCGGAACAGCCACAGAGCCTATGCACAATTTCATTTAATCAACATAATACTAGGATTTTCTTTTTCTAGTACCAGGGATGGTAGGCAGAATACCAGACATGCTACTTAAATTTCAGGACTATCAGACCTTTCAGAACTCTTTCAGCAGTACTGTGTCTTATGGAAATGACATAGATGCAAGGAAGCAAGGGCTATCAACAGAAGAGCAAAAATGCAACCAGTAGTCCAGAACTTCAACAAGGGTTGCTGACATGAGAGTTCTCCCAAGCACTGTACAGGCATATAAATTCCCCACAAGTGATAAACACAGTACAAGCAGAGGACAACTGTCTACAGAGGAATGTAAAGTTTACTTTGACAGTATTTATTGAATGGAAGCAGAATCTTAAGTTTACATATGTCACAATCTGATATGGACAAGGCTCAAATTATTCTGGGCCACCTATATCAAAAACCTTTTAATCAAGAATGCAAGATTGTGGTGGGTGTTTTAATGCTTTCCAAGGATTTTTCATTTTTGGATAATCTTCTTAGGCTACTTCATGTACTTGACAGTATAGCGATCAGCTTTGGGTCTAGAAGAAAGAATATTTTATCTATCTTAAGATCACATGGGGATGAGAAGAGTAATGGAGCTGGAAAAACACCAAACCAAAAACCCCAACCATGTTGCAAGACTGTCAGCGAGAATCGCTTATTCAAGCAGTAAAGGACATTGTCTCAGTTTCTGTAAATCGTCCTAAGGACAAAGGTCTTAACAGGCCTGAGTGTGGCAATGGAGCTGAATTCATACCCTCAAAAGAAAAAAATCTCCCCCAAAAAATCTCCCCCCGCCCCGCCAAATGTGACTTCCATTGAATTTATTGGCAAATTGACCTCTTACCATGATCCTCCATCAATGCATTTAGATTGGCTTTGGCTTCCATAACACAGAATGGTGACTGACTGCTCAAAAAGTCTGAGAGATTATTGCTGGAACAAGAGAGGCGAAAGGCAAGTAGGTCATCTAGTCCGTTTAGCAGATTAGCCGTTTCACGGCTATCAGTCAAAAGGGAGAGAAACATGCATCTCCTTGTCAGCTTATATATTGGAAATGCACTGGTTGTCAGAAACAGTGTTTTAGGTTCTGGAGAGAACTACTCTACGTAGACTTTGACCTTCTGAACAAGGTCTGCAGTTCAGTACCCTCCAAGAATGAAAGGGTAAGTCTACAAAGAAGTTTACAAATTATGTTGAGCATGGCCTTGCCAAACTTTGGGTGCCCGCTGACCCCTTCCCCCCACCCCTTTTAGTCCAAAAGCTCTGTATTAGTTGTCTAAATTTCTCATACAACATACAGGGAGCTTGGTGTCATGAAACAGGATGCATACACAACATCTTGAGTGTGACATCTCCCTTCACCAAGCCTGTTCACCAGCAGCATAGCTAGAATTCTGCTCATATTGGGTTTAGGTAAGCTGCAGAAAAGCATCCATGTTAAGGTGGAATTCACAGCCAAACTTCTTTTAAACACAGCCTATTTCAACTACCAAAAGTAACAGTTGGGCCACACTTACTAAAAAAAAAAAAAGGAGAATTAGTCTTTTTTGTTTTTTGACTTGCCTCAGGGAGTGAGAGAGGGATTCTATTTCCTTCTCAGTTTAAAGCTCACATTCCCTGCTTTATGCTGCAGGCTGAGCTGTGAAAGCATGCAGTTCACACCCTCTGGTAAAGCTAAGCCTCTGAACAGAAAAGAAATAAAGATTCATTCAGTCAGAAAGAAGGACCATCAGTCTGACTCAGCACCTAGATCACTCACCCAAGAGTGAGTCTTGCTTGCTCTCTAGACCATACATTTTTACAACAGACAATCATTAGAAAAATACAAACTCAGTCAAATCTCCTTGAACTTGCACACAGAGCTTCCATGTGCAGAAGAGGTACCAGGGAGTTAAAATTGTCATTGAACAGGTAAGATCTGAACTTTAGTATGAAAAATTAACTAGAGGTGCAGAATTATTACCCAAGTGCACAAGAGGGAGGAAGAGAGGACCAAGCCTTTTATGAGAATGAACAATTTTCAGAGAGGTAGAAGTGACTAATGTCTTTAAAGTGGCAAAAAGACTTAGTCCTGCTGCTGCTGCCCACTGCAGCAAGCAAGAGAATTACTATGGCTTTACCCTTGTGAAGAAGCATAAGGCAGACAAGCAATTTAATAGCGCCTATGCAAGGAGAGATCGTGTAAGTGGAATCTACAGGCGCAGCTGAAAGGATGCATTCTCCAAAGACTAGACTAAAGAAAGTAACTGATTTGCACATCATTTTTCTTTGCATGTAGGTGTAGTAGAAAATACTAAGTCACATGTGGTATGTGCCCTGCACACAGCTAAGTTTGCAATGACAAATTCCAAAGTAGTCTGCTGTTTTACCACCAATGATTACTGGAGACTTTGAGAAGGAATAATGCCCAGTACTTTGTAATCTAGTAGTAGCTCAGAAAATAAATCTCATCTGACCATTTGTGTGGAATTTTTAAAGTTGGCAAAGGACTAGTACTAGAGCTTTAAAACAAAGTGATATAGTTGTTAGTAAAATAAATTTTCAGTACATTTTCTAAAAGCTTTTGTTCACTGAGCCTTAAAAAAAATTTTTTTTCTTCCAAAAAGCCACAGCTAAAGGGGCATCCTAGTTCATTGTAAAACCCCAATCACACCCCACCCCCTCCCCTGCAGTATCACTCACTAAAGAGATGTATAAAAAAATATTTTTAGGTATGCATTGGAGATTGGGCAACATCAACACAGAATTTTCTCCAACACTGCTAGGGCATATGCTAAAGCTAATCATGCACAGCCCTGAACCACTGGGCTTCCACACATTTCTCTGTGACAGGCATACAAACTTCAGTTTGACATACCACTGAACCTATAGGCATCAAAAGCACAAAATGTTGCCTACATCACACAACTCTGTTGCTGTGGTTCACTGTTAGGGCTGCTATCTCTGTATGCTGTATAGCTCCACAGATTACTAAAGAAAATTAATCTCTTCAGAACAGCTTCCAGTTATTATTGTCTGAAGGTCCAGCAATGATAAATTACAGCCAATAAGTTTAATTGCACTTGTGTTGATGGAGGTAAACAGCTCTGAGTTCTTTTGAGGACAAACCCCCCCATATTTCCAAATTCAGAAGTAGGCCTTTAAAAGAAAGGGAGTATACTGACCCATCCGTTGATAATTCCATTTATGTATTAGATGACAAAGATGACTGCTGTTTTAAGTTCTTGTATTTCTCTCAAAAATATGATCCCATGAAAGCCTGCAAAGACTTTGCACCTTGTATGTTCTACCACATAGGCTTCACACTGAAAAAAATCCAGCTTTTTGCTTTTGCTGTCAATATCCTGTCTTACACGCCAGATTGGGCTGTAAGCAACATTTCCATGCAACACAAGGCAAAAAGAATAAAGATACAGCAGTGAAGTCTCAAACTGTCATTCATGAAGTCTCCTAATTGTTTCAATATATACTTATGTCCTACAATATTTTGCAAGTTTTCAGTATTTTACACATGCTAGTAATAGATGCCAAGATTCAACATACTTTTTAAGCATCTACCGTCTAACTAAATTACCAGCTGGCAAGGAAGTGTCTAGGAACTCTACCTGCCATTATTCACATTTTCCTGCTGCTTGTGTTTGTATCCACAAAAAATCTTCTATATGGGACAAGAAAAAACAAAATATAAAAGTCACCTGACACATCACGTTAATGATTTTACCTTTTTGTTCCCACTCTGTGGTTTGGGGCAATATCAATTGTGTCTGTAGCTGAATCATGCCTAACTGCCAATCCTAGGTCTGCAATGCAACATGTTCCATTCTTTTTTACCAATATATTTTTTGATTTCAAATCTCTGTGGGCAATCGCTGGTTTGCCTGTAAGGAAAAACATAGAAATAACACATCTGTAAAAAAGATAATTGCTATTATTTTAAGCCTGGTGCAGATTTTGTTTGAAGTTACAGAACTCCTTCCAGTTCTGCTGCTTTATACACATCAAGGTAACTCCTGAAATCACTCATTGGCTGGCTGTCCAGAAAAGTGCCTTAGATGTCTACTGTATTACTCCACTGTACTGTTCCTTTCCCTCTTCCTACCAGTATTTATTGCATACACATACTACTTGCCACAAAAATGTTTCTAGTATCTCTGGAAATAGACCCATAGTGCTGTCTCAAATCAAAGTTAAGAAGATACTACAGGCATCAGTACTTAGTGCCTTTTAATAGGTGTTTTGTAAGAAGGATCGTTACATCACAAAACCTGGATATACCATAGAAAGGAAGGTAAAAACCCTTCCAAATTAAGAAAGTTCTATCAGTTCAGAAATTGTCACAGGCCCCAAACAGACATTATTCCATTCACTCAGCTCCACAAGGGATTAACTTGGATACCTGCGCTGAGTTCAGTTGCCTTCTCATTACGTAAGTAAGTAGCTGTGTGCAAAGCAACTACACCCTGAAAAGGTTGAATGTTCTAATTAAGAAGAGAATTATAGTAGAAAGAGCTACGTATGTGTCATTTTTTAAAAAAAAACATTTTTATGGGGTATTAAACAGTAATAAGCCAGTATTATCCACATGACAGGCTGAATATTTGTAACATTACCTTGCGTGCCAACAATTTCCATGTGAAGATGAGCAAGACCACTGGCAGTGGACAAAGCTAATTTTATCATTCCTTCCACTGTTACTGTGTACCTGTTCAGGTAATCAAAGAGTGATCCATGCTCATGATAGTCTGACACCAACCACAGCTGAGTCCATGTACCATTGTCTGCAAAATAACACTGGCATGAATACCACACATACACACACAAAAGACAAGCAAACCATATATGCCACTTTTATACAACGCTTATGAAGTACAAATTATGTTTTGCAAGTAACCACAGCCAATTAAGATTCTTAAATCTTTACTTCTATCCCTGTAACATTTAAATGCCTCTGTAAGGGCTGGGACTACCATGCAAGACTTTCTGAACAGCTTAGTGAGTATTCTTTTATTTGAACTAAAAGACAAACCATAGAAAGCTGATGTCACTCTGATTCTGAGGTGAACTATTCAGGGTATTAGCTAGACCCTGCCTTCCCCTAACTTTTCTGCTTGGGGGGGAACAGTGCTGAATGCCTGATGCAAAACTAATCCTGTCACTATCTGTCTAGTACAATATTGTCCAAGCTACCCATAAAAAAATATGTCTTTCTAGCTTTGCCCCGTAACTCCTTCAGTCTTTCCCTTAACCTGCCTGACCTCAGCCTGGGAGGCAATTTCCAGTTACCAGCAGCTGGTGGATTTTTCCTCCTGGAGCAGAAGCTTGCAGGCAGCAATCAGACACATTACTTCAAAAACAAAGTCAAATCCCACCCCTGGTGACCTCTAAGTTGCTGGCCAAAATTGAGGTTTCCAGGAGGCACAAGGGGAAAGAGAATGAAAAACACTAATTATGAGAAAACCAGTTTTATTTTCACTGTATGATTTTTCACTGAACTATGAAGAACAAGACAGGCCATAATACATTTGCAGATATCCCAAGGCATACAAAGGACGGATAAGAACTAAATTGTTCACATTATTAAACTAGGGAACACAAAATACCTTGAAGTTTAAGCCACAGAGAGAAGACCATTAAAGTAATTCAAATCAAGAGGGGGGACAAAAGTTTGGGGTTTTTTTGACCTAAAAAGTAGAAATATACCCAGAGAAGAAAAATTCTTCCACCAGATAAGTTTTCCAATTTTGTTTTGTTATAAAAGCAACTCTCATGTGGCAGATCTGAGAAGTGTTTTTATAGCTAGCTACTGTTGTAGAAGTCTTTCATCTCTTTAAAATACTAGTTATCCCATAAAAGATTTCAGTTGGACTTCTATTCTGAATTATACAGCCACTATTCCCTAAGAACAAGTGAGAAAACTCAGCACAAGTGTGATAATCCCTAAGGATTATCAAAATGCATACTCAAGAACTAAATATGAAGAATAGGAAGGAGAGAAGTGAATTCAGAAGTTAGTCCCTATCATAAAGTTTCCAAATAGGAGGTTCTTACATTTCCTCACCCTCTAAGAACACACTTGGCCCAGAAAAGTCAGAGGCACAAAATGCCTGATCTACAGATTGACAGAAACTACCTTAATAGAAGTACTTGTGCTTATCTTTAAATAAGCACTTGGGTGGAGGTGGGAAAACTTTCAAGCATCCCTTCTACTTGGATGTTTGCAGGGAAGCCAGTGATGACATTAAAAATAATTTTAAAAAATAATTAAAAAGCCATCAAATGCTTCAGAGTAGGGAAATAGAAGTCCAATCTACATTCAAATAATTCTCATAATGGAAAGAGAATTCTGCCTAGCTACATTCACAGAATAGTCTCAACTAAGTTGTTAATTTAAACAGCCAAAAGAAAGCAGTCAAATGCTCTAACCAGAGAAAGACTGTTAGAAAGCTGCTATTGCAGTGGGAAGCTTCTTATAATATGCCCACAGAAGTGACTCCTAAGCTTTGCTTTTTAAAAAAGAAAAAACAAAATGAAATATTTTTTTTTTAAAAATATCTTCAATTATTTTATAGTTAGGACTGCTGCCTCTTTTGCTACTTCGCATATCCAAGCATGAACTTGTAGAACTTGACATACTATTAAATGTCACTTTTTCCAAAGAGAATTATGGTCTCTGAAAAGTCAATCCAACAGTATTAGCTTCACTGAACCAGTTTCACAGAACCATTAGAAACAGGTATGTGTTCACAGGCATATAAAAGGTGCTCTCAAATACATACAGCCTAAGAGCTCCAAAAAGCTGCAGAAGTTCAAAATTAACTTAATCAGTTCAGAATATTCTCTTCAGTCAGTTTTATTCTACTGCTTCACCAATTATGACACTACATTGCCTGAAATAATCCTCTCCTGGGCATTAACACTATACACACTCATTGCTTGATCCTGTATTTGATTTTTTCTCCTGTTTCTTATGAATGGGATACTTCAAGAGGTGTCTAAACTAGACAACAATAACTAGGGAAATTAGTAATCTAATTTTAAGTAGTCTACCAGACGTATTGTGTTTAAACAGATCTTTTAAAGATGTCGCAAAGTTTCTGAAGAATTACAATTGCTTTGAATCAAGATTATAGTGTCTTTGCTAAAGTTTTTTCCCCTCTTATCTCTAGGTGCCCACTCAAGAAGAGAACATGCTGCTGATTACAGACCCTTCTACTTCAGTTTTACCTTATTACCTGCAAGTCTTAATATTCAGTCTGTTTTTATCTTCCTTCCAAAGCAGAAAACATAAAGCTGGGGTTACGTTCCATTCTAAAAGAAGCCATGATTCTTTCCCATTGTATGTCATATTTGTGACCCTCCAACCAGATTTTAAGAAGGGACAGTGTTGCATCCAAACTTACGTGAATAATATTAATTACAGACAAGCTGAAATGCAGCAATAAGTACAGTGTCCAGCTATTAGATGGGACCTATTACATTTTCTTTACCTTGCTATATTTGACAAATTGCACGTTTGTTTAGCAATCTAAGCAGAACACGTTATGAACTTCAGTCTTCTTACACTGTTGACATTAGTTAATTATTACCAAGCAGTAATTAACCTGACCCTGAGTATTTTTGGCTGCACAGTAAACAGCATCTGCCATGAAGCTTTCAATCATAGGATTTGCGTTATCAGGTAAGAAAAAGTAATTACACTCAGTAGTAATTACATACAGTAGCACAGCCTTCCATGACAAGATAAGCTAATTTAGTTCGTATATACACCATGATCAAGAATCTCAAGCAATTTCAGAATGTTCAAGAACATTACAAAAATTTATGTATGTTCTTGGAAACCTATTTAAAAGATTAATTATGGTTATTTCATCTGTTTGTCTAAAATACTTTCAGGTTTCTTGCAATCAAAATCATTCAGAATTAAAAGGTTTTTCTTTTGCAGTTCTAACAAAATTTGAAATTCTGAGAAAAGAAGCTTTCAGATTTGTTGTTAGAAGACTGATTACAGTTTGAGAAAAACGTTAGTGAAGTCCAAGCAACATTCATCTTAGACAAGCTGCCTCTCGAAGAAAGGAATTTATAACAATTGCTTTATCAAATATATAATCAAGTTTCAATTAAAATTTAATTAACTGAATTCACTTAAGTGAAAAATCCTTTTTTCACATTGGTACTAGCAAAACAAAAATTTGGACTTGGTGCATGCTTGTTTTTAAACCAAATACTAGGTTTTAAGGTGTGACACTATTGCTTGGTATGAGAGTTTTGAACCACAGACTTATGTTCCAAGTTGAACGTTTAAAAGAAGTTACAGAAACTGCCTAATTGCATGTGTTCTCCAGTGTCATGTAATAAAGTGTTTCAAAGTAGAGAGTGGGATTCATTAGCCTGTTTTGACATGCAGATAATGTAACAGAAAAAAACAGGAAAAAGCAGTGAAAAGATCAGATACAGATGGGATCTATAACTAGAAAACTCTTAGAAATGAGACATTCAGGGAGATGTCAGGGAAAACACTTTTGTCTGTGGCTGGAAGAGGACTGATATTTTGTTAGTGAAACAGCTTGACTCCATCACATTGAGATAGTCATCTGATTAAGTTGATGAAAAGCACTTGAGCAGTGTAGATTAGCAAGATCTTCCAGTCAAATTCCTTCTTCACAGGCTAAAGCCAGAGCTTCAAAAAGAATAAATGGCTCAAATATTACTTTTCTCCAGAGGAAGGAATTCTGCTCATTTCTCCACAGCATATTGCCTAACATCATTCTTGGGGATCTACTTACTACCATGTAAGGTAGTCTGACTGAAAAAAACTTTCACCTAGGGAAGTGCAGCTTTCAATTAAGGGGAAGGAATCGAGAGGCCAAAGTATTTTAGTGCATAAAGTTATCTGAAAGTGTGCAGTACAAGACTTCACCTTACTTGTAACATGACTACAGACAGTTATGGTTACAGACAGCTAATCCAGGGAAACCTTTAGTACTGTAAATGGAGGTTGCTGCCACTGCTCTTCTGCTAGCAGAAGAGTGCAGATAAGTAGTCCCTGATACACTTTACAATTAATTATCTAGGTTAGAAAGAACAAAACAAAAAAACCCACCCAAAACCCAAATAATCTGTTTAGGTGGTTCAAAACAAGGCAACACGTGGCCCAGAAAGTAATCTCCCTGACCTAGCAGTATTTGAAAGTTAGCATATACTCCTGGCTAAGTAAAGAGCTACCCAGAACACAACTGCAGTTAAAATCATTCATTGCTTCTCAGCCCTCAAGCTGGCTTAACAGCAGCACCTATTTCCCAGTAAATTTTGGCATGGGAAAGCAGACAGGTTGTAGCCTTCTGAACACCCATACAGCTGTGGGGAGGTAGAGAAGGAGAACGAGAATGTGCCATTAAGGAACATGGAATGTCTAACCAGTGTAGTAGAACAAGGAGTGAAGACAGTAGTTCAGTCACAAGCTTTATGACTCCACCATCTCAGCTGAATGCCACTGACTTAGCTGATCTATCTTACACTTGTAAACACTTTCTAATCTATACATGCACCCTTCTACCTAAAGGCACCCCCCCCAATTTTACAACTACAATGGCCAGCCAGATGTTTCCCACCAGTTGTGAAAAATATGCAGTTGCGTTAAGAAGAGAGACTTAATTAATGCCTTTACTAGTAGCGAGAATTGCAGCATGACACTGGCCCACATTTACACCACAAACTACGTGTCAGGAGATACGAGTCCTAAGCATTCATGATGGATACACAACAACCTACTCCTGAGAATTCTTCTCCATATACCACTGAAGCTTTCACCAAGCACTGAACTGGGATTGCACAAGTAATTCCTTGTACTGCTGTATCTCTGTAAACATCTTTGCAAGGTCTCAGACACACAGATTCTTACAGTCTAATGACTTTGTGCATTCCAGCTAGGCTGTAGTAATTCCCGAATGCATCCAACAGTCTGCCCTATGGAGAAATGGATGCAAATCCTTCACAGCTATTATTGCTGTGAACTAATAGTTCATCTTGCACCTGGCACCTAATAAGCACTTATCAGTTAGCACCAGCATCTACAATGGAAGACTGTTAATAGGTGTTTTTAAGCCATTGGTCTCCAAAGCCATGTACACTTGCTCCTTTCAGAGTACCATGACAGAACACCTGCTAAACTGGAAGAACTACCTCCGTAACGCTCCCTCTATGTTCTCCCATTTAATGGGATACAGGTGCCCTGAAGTATTCCAAATAAGAACTGAAGTATCAACCTCCTTCAATATTCAGGACTTCTGAATGCTTAACCCAGTGAGAGAATGGTGTGTACATATTTCCTCGCTGAGAGAATGCAGAAGGTTATACTGAGAATTCTGCATTGGTGGGTTAAAAATAATAACCCAGCTTTCTGTATCTGCTCAGACAGCAATACTGTTAGAAAATAGAGTCAAGAATAGTAGCATTTTCAAAACACGTCATTATCCATTTTTCATAAACCAATTACCAACCAGTTCAAGAAAACAGAAGAGCCTTGCCCTAAAGTCTTGAAGCCTCAAATAATGGCATGACCTATCAACTAAGGATTTTTTCTTTCTATGTACAGCATACTAACAACAGAAACCAGAAATAATTTTATAATCACATTATATTACTTCATTTCCAGATGACCAAGGTAAATGGAATTTCATTCTCTTTCATCTGGAACCTGAGCCAGCAATCAGGAAATTATTTTAGGAATCCATTCGTTTAGGAAACCTTCCTCCTACCTCCTCTACACAGTAGTCATGTATTTTTGGGACAAACTATCTATGGGTTTGGGGCAAAATGGGAGACTGGTATGCTTAACCACAGATAGATTTTCTTAAAAGTTATAGCTAAGGTATTGCAATATATCCTTTATGCTTTTAAGTGAGATATAGTACCTAAGCCTTCTGCAGAGATGGATTTTCATTTATGTCTTTAATGCAACCAATCTACTAGTTTTAAACCCAGGCTCCAGACGCTCCACTAGGTCCATCAGAACAAATTCAAGCTCTCGCAGGTGCTATTAATATCCAACACAACTTTAGGCATGCAAGTAAGACATTTTCTAATGGTAAGCATAACAAGATACAGGAAAAAGTTGCCTGGTGTGCTGTAGATCTGCAAGCTCTTGGAGGTTAACAAGTTGCACAAACATCTGTTAGGAGCAAGTTAGTTATAGCTAACCCTTTCCTGGAGAAGGGAAGTGTTCTGCACAACCTCTTGGGTTCTGTTCCAATTCTACAGATTTATATAGATATAGAAACTTGAAATAAATCTAGTGATAATTAAAAAGAACTCTGTTTACATGTATACTTCAACTACACTAAAACCATTTAGGAATTTTCCACAAAACCGAGAGCCCTTTAAGAATCCAGGATGTGTGTGGATTCTTGACTCCTCCCTAAGGTGACAGACACTTCTGTTAATGCTTTCTTTGCAAAAAAGTCAAAGGCCATTTATGGTGAAACATGTAATTTCATATTAAAATAACTGAATGAAACGGCATAACATTTTAGCTCCCCTTAATGTAAGAAATTCAAAGCTTTTGTTGGTTTTTGCCAAATCTTCATGTCTTAAAAGGCTTATCAGGAAAGATTCAGGAAACAGGTACAGTATTTTTAATACTAGGAACAAATCATTAATTCCCTTTTTCCAATTTATTTTCTAACTGGAGTTCTAAATGAATAACCTCTCATACCTCAGCCTTAAAAATGAATCCCCTATCTGCTACTTTATATTTGGACAACAGGATTAGACATGATCTCTTTTGGCACCACACATCTATCTTATTAGGCTATTAGGGAAGTACAGATATTCAGCAGATGTGTGGGCTGACAGGATAAGGCATCTCTCCTTCTTAATACCAAACTTAGCCAGTATTTTAACTTGCTTGTAGAAATTACACCTCATTAAATATGCATTTTTTTTTTTTAAAATTTAAACAAAGCTTGTTTTCCAGAAAATGGAAAGTGAATTTTTTCCTTCATTAAACCTATGAAAAGCCTGCCAAACTCCAAAATGCTCTAGAAACAACATTATTTTTTGCTACTCTTAATTGGATCCTCACAACTTTATTTTCCCCTCCATTTACCATCTATTCTGACCAGGTACACAATCAACAAATTGAATTCATAGTATCACTAACCTTTGTTGTCTGCAGCTATAAATCCAAGGATGTTTTCATGCCGTAGCATAACTGTTTGATAAATTTCTGCTTCACGAAACCATGAGCGCTCCTCTCTTGAAGAGAAGATCTTCACAGCAACTTCTTCTCCCCTCCACTTCCCTCGCCAGACTTCTCCAAAGCGACCTTTACCAATACTTTCTTGAAGTACTATAGTTCTTGCAATTGTTCTTTGCACAAGTAAAGGTAAACCTAAAAAGAAGATTTAACATTAACCTTAAACATCACTCTAACAAAATAAGCACTTATATAAGATCCATATTCCATTAAGATATTTCTCTTTAGAATGCATATAAACTCTCTTAAGATTTTAACACCTTGTCATGAACTGCTAACAAGCATGTAGGTAAGATGCTGCCTTCAACCTTGAAGGCCAGCAAAACAAGTACTCAAAGATATTATGCTACAAACTGCCTCTAAGTTGTTAAAAAGGCAGCACAAACTTCCTTTCAGTTTAGAATGTTGACAGCTGTTGATCCATAAAGTTTTATTTTAATGAAAAAAAAAACCAGACCATGAAGTAATCAGGACCAGGACTGAGGTTTTTTTTTGGGTGGGTTTTTTTTTCTTCTTTTAGAAAAGGAACTGCCCATAACTCTCCTGGCAAAGCAGTTCAAGCGCACTTTTGCTACTGATTCATTTACTTGATTGTCCTGGTTCCGGCTGGGACAGAG